GGCCCGGGGTCAGTAGGGGGCCCCATGAGATGCCCCTGGTACCTTTTCATAGGCTTTTTTGCCTGGGGGCCCCATGAGTTGTCAGTCCGCCCCTGATAATAAGGCATATTTACTAAAGGAGTTGTAAATCTCCTCACAATAAATTGTGTGAATTGTCACATAAATTATCAAACTGTGTGAAAAAAATTGTGCTTAACTCATTTGCATATGATTGGATAACTTAACCTCCCTGGCGGTATTCCTGAGTGTAGCTCGGGGTAAAATTTCAGTACCAAAAGCTCTAACCCTGTGCTAAACTCGGGCTTACCATGCGGCGTTGCTCAGGGAGTCCCTGCAGCGCCTACCTTGTCCTTCGCTCCCGCGATGTGTCCCCTGCAGCGTCCCCGGCCATCTCCTCCGGCCGATGCCGGCATCCGGCTTCCGTGTTGCGGTCCCTGTGACGTCGGGACGTACGGGCGCCGGAACTGGCAGCAAATTTGAAATTTTAAAAAAATTTCATTTTTTTTAAAAATGATTATTATATAGTAAAACATTGCTGTTTCAATGCATTTCACATACATTTTGTCCCGAGTGCTTTGCCCTGTGCCCTGCCTACATTTTGACTGTTCTTTCTGCCTGGAAACTGAGAAAAGTCCATGGCGACCAAAAAGCATCCCTTTATGTCAAAGGCGGTTTTAGACCAGCTAGAGAACAGCGATAGTAAATCAGAACCACTTGCAGAATTGAGTGATAATGATTCGTGGGGAAATTCGTCATCAGATACTGAGAACGGTTTTGCGACTTTGCTCAGCGATGTGCGAATTTGCGTCTGTATTTCAAATTTCAGTGTTTTTGGTTTGATTATATTATTGAATTAAATGTATTATTATTATATTATTATTTTTTATGATTGTTAATTAAATTATAATTTATGATTTCGTGTTTCAAGTTTTATCATATCCAGAATGTTTACTAGACTCTTGTTCGGACAGATTTCAGTGAGTTATTCCTAAAAATTACAGCCTACAATAAAAAACTACATATTTCCATGCAAAAAAATGGTACCGCTTTCAGCACCAAAAATCTGAAATAATCATACCGCCAGGGAGGTTAAGTGAATATTCATGCAATTTATTGAGACTCAACTCTTTTAGTAAATCAGCCTCATCGTATACTCCTTTTGGCATTTTTATTATTAGATCCTACTGAGCAGCATTCCTTGTGAGTATGGACATTAGTATATTTTAGTTGCAGAAGGTGTTTTTAACTCAATAATTCATTGTCATTTTATTGATTTTCATTAGCTAATAATCTTTTTATCAAATATACAATGTTAGCTTCAGGAATGTACAAGATAAAATACAAATTTTAGTATTACTAAATGTAGCTCCTACATGCACCATTGAACCATGTCTCCATTCTCTCTTTGTGAACAGACTGATACACTTTTAAAGTGATACAGAGGCAGTGAACTGGAGCATGATAGTAAGTGACACATCTATGTGGGTACATTCTGTACCAACGTGTGTATGCTGCTGAAAATGACCCACTTATTCTCTATACCGCAAAATGATAGTATAAGTAGGTCATAATTACAAATAAGCACAAATACTAAAGCTGTATACTTGTTTAGTAAAGTGACATGCTATTGATGTGTAGTTAAAAGTATCTGAAGAAGGAAGCCTGACAATCTTGCCCATCCTGTTTTGGTACACAGCATGTGCAAATTGAAAGTGAACTCAAGGCAACATTCTACAATAAATTGCATGTAAAATTATGTACTTTTGTTGTTTTATTGATTTTTGTTGCACTGTCTGGAAGCAAAAATAATGTTTCATAAAGATTTTGGACTGGAGCTGTCTCTGATAATCTCCATCTTCTGGGAGTCCTGTTAATGACAATAAACTTTGGTTCAACACTAAATCCATCCCATCCACTTAGTTTGCTTGAAGTTAAAATTAAGCCCTCTGCAGGTATTTGCAAAAACTGATTCCTACTGTTGCTATACAGGCAATCCCCGAGTTACAAACATCCAACTGACATCCAACTCTTACTTAACCCTTTGGTGCCAAGCATATTCATATATGCTGCCCCACTGGACTGTGCTTTTTTTCCATGGGGCTGCATATATGCATAGGTGTCTTTGTGCTGGGAGCACACTTCACATCACACTCCCAGCACAGAAACGGGGGTCTCACTGAGAGCCCTTGGTCCTGTACTAATGATCGGGACCCAAAACTCACGGTTTTGAGTCACCTGATTGCAGTGATCAGTCACTGTGAAGCCTGCCCCCATGTTTTCTCTCTCTGAATGGAGGAGAAAGATACATTGTATCTCTCTCTCCTTGCAGAAAAAAAAATAACAACAGTGTAAAACTAAAAATAAAAATAGTAAAACATTTTAAAAAAGCCTAGATCAAGGTTTGATCTAGGTCAGTGCCAGGGTTAGTGTCAGGGTCAAAGGTCAAGGTCAGGGTCAGTATTTTTTTTTTTGGCAGGATTTAAAAAAATTTTTAATTAGTATCAGTGTCAGTTAGTGTCAGTGTCAGTATGTTTACGTAGGATAAAAAAAGGAAAAATAACATTAAAGAAAATAAAAATTAAAAAAAGCCTAGATCAAGGTTTGATCTAGGTCAGTGCCAGGGTTAGTGTCAGGGTCAAAGGTCAAGGTCAGGGTCAGTATTTTTTTTTTTTTTTACAGAATTAAAAAAACAAATAATTTGTATCAGTGTCAGTTAAAGTCAGTGTCAGTATGTTTTACGTAGGATAAAAAAAAGCAAAATGCGCACTATTGTTTCTGGGTTGTACTACAGTACAAACAACTGACATATATACAGGGCCTTGAAAAGTATTCATACCCCTTGAAATTTTCCACATTTTATCATGTTACAACCAAAAACGTAAATGTATTTTATTGGGATTTTATGTGATAGACCAACACAAAGTGGCACATAATTGTGAAGCAGAAGGAAAATGATGAATGGTTTTCATAATTTTTTACAAATAAATATCTGAAAAGTGTGGCATGCATTTGTATTCAGCCCCCCTGAGTCAATACTTTGTAGACCCCTTTTTGCTGCAATTATAGCTGCAGGTCTTTGCAGCTTTGCACATCTAGAGAGTGAATTTTTTGCCCCTTGTTCTTTGCAAAATTGCTCAAGCTGTGCCAGAGTGGATGAAGAGTGTCTGTGAACAGAAATTTTCAAGTCCTGCCACATAATCTCAATTCGATTTAGGTCTGGACTTCGACTGGGCCATTCTAACACATGAATATGCTTTGATCTAAACCATTTTATTGTAGCTCTGGCTGTATGTTTAGGGTCATTGTCCCTCCGTCCCAGTCTCAAGTCTTTTGCAGACTCTAACAGGTTTTCTTCTAAGATTGCCCTGTATTTGGCTCCATCCGTTTTCCCATTAGCTCTGACCAGCTTCCCTTCCCCGGCTGATGAAAGGCATCCCCATAACATGATGATGTCACTGCCATGTTTCACGGAGAGGGCGGTGTGTTCAGGGTTATATGCAGTGTTAGTTTTCTGCCACACATAGTGCTCTGCTTTTAGGCCAAAACGTTAAAAAGTACAGAAGTTGGTCTCACCTGACCAGAGTACCTTTTTCCACATGTTTGTTGTATCCCCCACATGACTTCTTGCAAACTGCAAACGGGACTTCTTATGGCTTTCTTTCAGCAAAGGCTTTCTTCTTGCCACTCTTCCTTTAAAGGCCAAATTTGTGGAGTGCACATCTAATAGTTGTCCTGTGGACAGATTCTCCCACCTGAGCTGTGAATCTCTGCAGCTCCTTCAGAGTTACCATGGGCCCCTTGGCTGCTTCTCTGATTAATGCTCTCCTTGCCCGGCCTGTCAGTTTAGGTGGACGGTCATGTCTTGGTAGATTTGCAGTTGTGCCATACTCTTTCCATTTTTGAATGATGGATTGAACAGTGCTCCAGGAGATGTTCAAAGCTCAAAGCCATTATAAAAATGTATTAAAACTTTTAGCAGTATCATAAACATTACTTAGCAAAAACCTGAAGCCAGAAATTTGTGTGGTTGCAGAACACACTAGTGATTTACCCATCTTGGTCAGGAGAGGTGAGTAAGAGATGTTGAATGGCATTGTGTGTACAGCGGCAAAGTATTTTTACATAAGATGCACTAAAATACGTCATATTTTAGGCACCTCTGCAACAGAAATGTAACTTTTAATGGGATACACTTATGTGACATCATAACCTTCCCTCTCTGTCTCAGCCAATCAGAGGAAGCTTTGTATTCATTGCTGGAATGCATCGCTTTCTATGAGTGGCTGAGCTCCTCTCAGACAGACTACTGTGTTCCGGGTTTGAGACTGAAGGTCTCGACTCGCACCTGGTACAAAGTGATGTATGCTATATGTAGCCTCAGCTACATACAGTTTATACAGCACATCCAGCTGCCTCACATGTTAGTGAGGGACATAAAGTGTACCAAAAGCTGGAATTTAGCTTTAAGAATATGTAATATAGTGCCCATTGTCAGTTCATGGAAGGGAGAAAAATGCCTAGCATCATCAGTCAGTAGAATAAGAACAAAATGCCCAAGTTCTGGTGGTCAGTGGGAGAAAAAATATGTTGAACATTTGCTGGTAAGACAAATGTTTGTAGATATTGGTCAGTGGGAGAAGAAAGTCAAGTGTCATTGGTCAGTGGGAAAAAAAAATGCTCAGTATTTTTGTTAAGTGGGAGATAAATTTGAGGCATTGTGGGCCACTGGGAGAAAAATTCTCAGCGTAATTGGTGGAAGGCAAAAATGAGCTAGCTTTAGAAGGAGAAAAAATGGCTTTGGTGTCAGTAGTCAGGGGGAGTAACAAATATGGTATGTGTCAATGATAGGAAAAATAATAACCCCTCCCCATTTAGCAATTAGACCACATATTGGCCCCCTTAAACACCCCTTTAGACCTCAGATCAGTGACCCTTAAATTCTCCTTTAACCACTTCCCTTCCAGCAAATGTACATAAACGGTCAGACGGGAGCAGTGCAGGAGCTGGTGGCCCCGTGATCCGGAGGACACAGCAGAACACAGATTGCTGTATGGGACCTCTGTGTGAGTTCCGGATCATGTGATCACTGATTGTCCAATCAGTGATCACATGAATAGAAGTAAGCAAGATGTCACTTGCTGACATTATTGCTTACTACTTGTGAAATCTGTGAATGATCACAGAGGTCACATGGTACAAGGCTATTCACAACAGCCTTGTACCATGTGACAAGCTGTGACCAATCACAGCTCTCACAGTATTTCTCAATGGCTGCAAGAGGGAAGGAGAAATGATTGATTTTACAGCCTTTATGGGTGTAAAAGCAATCAGTGTAAGAAAAGAAAAAATCTTCATCACCCCCAACAAGTAGTACAGTGTCACTATGGTGATACTGTAATGCTAGAGTGACAGTATGTTAAAAAAAAAAATAATAATAATAATATAAAAAAAAAAATAAAAATGTATAAACTATATTTTTAATTATCATTTTTTGGTTATAAACTAATTAGGGTTTTTTTTTTTTTACTAAAAAGATAGCTGAATACATTTTGGCCAAGATTTATGAAGAAAAATTATTTATTTGCACTTTTTTTTTTCAAAATGTTTGGAATTTTTCATTTATATAGCAAGAAAATAAAAATCCCAGTGGTGAATAAATACCATAAAAAAAAAGTTTTATCTGTCTCAAAAAAATGCTGACAAATTCATATGGGTACAGTGTTGCATGACCGCGCATTTGTCATTCAAAGTATGATAGCACTGAAAGCTGAAAATTGGCCTGGACTGGAAGGGGGTGAAAGTGTCCGGACTTGAAGTGGTTAAACCCCACATCAGCCTCCTTTAAATGTCTCTTTGGATCCTATATTAGCACCCATTAAAATTCCCTTCAGACATCATATCAGCCTCCCTGTAAATTTCTACAGCGTGAAAACCCAAGAATCCCTCTTAGGCTCCCTTTTAGACCTTGGACCAGCACTCCTTAAACTTTCAATTAGGCAATTGTTTTAAACATATTTGCTGTGTTATTTTGAAACAGATTTTTGTGTTTTTTTTTTTCCCATTTCAGAATAAAAACTGTAACATACCTTTTCTTAAATTGCCAGTAGTAAAGTAAAAAAAACATGCCAAGCAAAATATATTTTAACAGCGTATTTACTTTTTCTTTGGTATCACAGATATAAAAATTCAACAACAAAGGCAGCATACGTAAAGCACTTTTCTATATTTATTTGTAAGCTATCTGTTTGCTTTGTGGAGTTGTCAAGGTTCTTCCCTTCTTTCATGACTGGCTGCACTCAGCATAAACAAATGTCATAGTGTGTTGCAGAATATAGAAGATCTAAAGAGAAAGTGACAGAGTGCATGTGTGTCTAGTGTCAGGCACTCAAAATATAAATAAGACAAGCATTTTATCCCCAAATTAGACTGAACAATTGTTAATTTTCCAGTCTTTTAAATATATGATCCTTACTAAACACCTGTAATGAATTAGTAAGTACAAAGCATAAACTCATTTACAGTGACAAACCAAACCAAAAACACCCCCTTTAACTAATCTAAAGGTTTTTGAAAAAAATCCAGCTAAAAGTTCCAATTACATACATCAATTTCCATTCGCAGTTCTTCTTTCTTCTGCTAAACAGAATGTAGGGTATGGTCAGAAGTGTCTATGTCACTTTTTGGTGATGTAGGCCCTGCCCATTGGCTGCTCAGCAGTTAACATAAAGGTCTTTAGAGTCCTTATAAGGTCCTGCAGAACCTAGGACTGATATCACATGAAGGGTGAACACAAGATCTAGCAGCTGGATTGGTGAAAAGAATGGATACTAGCTTCAGGCCACCATTATTATTATTATTACATTGAGTTTATATAGCGCCAAAGGGTTTGCTCAGCGCTGTACAATAGAGGGGGGGACAATACATGAAACAGTACAGCAACTACAAACAGCACACGAGGGGTTAGAGGGCCTTACTCTTTCGAGCTTACAATCTAGAAGGGAGGGGGTAGTGGTACAGGAGGAAATGGCTGTGGGGGATGGAGTGGTAGGAGGAATGAAGGAGAACGGCTGTTAGGTGAGGGTGGGGTAGGCTTCCCTGAAGAGGTGGGTTTTCAGGGAGCGCCTGAAGGTGAGGAGGGAAGGTGACAGTCTGATGGATTGGGGTAGTGAGTTCCAGAGGATGGGGGAGGACCTGGAGAAGTCTTGCAGTTGTGCGTGGGAGGAGGAGACCAGGGAGCAAGATAGAAGGAGGTCCTGTGCAGAGCAAAGGGTAGGGGTAGGGTGGTACCTGGGAATCAGATTGGTGAGGTAGTTAGGGGCAGTGTTGTGAATGGCTTTGTAGGTCAGAGTGAGTAGTTTGAATTTGATGCGTTGGGCAATAGGGAGCCAGTGGAGGGATAGGCAGAGGGGGGTGGCAGAGGTGGAGCGGCTGGTGAGGTGGACGAGTCTGGCCGCTGAGTTCAGGATGGTCTGAAGCGGGGAGAGCTTGCACTGGGGTAGGCCGGTGAGGGAGTTGTAGTAGTCGAGGCGTGAGATAATCAGGGAGTGTACGAGTAGTTTAGTGGTGTCTGGGATAAGGAAGGAGCGTATCTTGGCGATGTTGCGGAGGTGGAGCCTGCATGTGTTTGTAAGTGATTTGACATAAGGTTGGAAGGAAAGGTTTGAGTCCAGAATGACGCCAAGGACTTTGGCTTGCGGGGCGGGATTGATGGTGGTGTTGTTGGTAGTGATGGATAGGATGGGGGGGGGGGCACGGGCAGGGGGAAAGATGAGAAGCTTGGTTTTGGAGAGGTTAAGCTTGAGGAAATGGAGCAACATCCAGTCAGAGATGTCGTCTAGGAGGTGAGTGATGCGGGCAGAAAATGTGGGAGTGAGGTGAGGGGTGGAGAGGTAAATTTGAGTGTCATCAGCGTAGAGGTGGTAGTTGAAGCCGTGGGAGTGTAAGAGTTTGCCAAGGGAGGAGGTGTAGATGGAGAAGAGAAGGGGTCCAAGGACGGAACCCTGGGAGACCCCAACAGAGAGGGGGAGGGAAGGGGGAGGTGGCACCGTTGTAGGAAACGCTGAAGGAGCGTCGGGATAGGTAAGAGGAGAACCAGGAGAGAGCGGAGTCTCTCCTGCTTTTCACTGCTTTTATATTGCTAGGGCAGGTGATCACATGTATTGTATATGAGGTACTTGCTGGTCATTAGGGGTCAAAGACAGCTTACTCTTTCAACAGACCCATTCTACATAAAGCCTATTATGTTTTTAAGTGTCATATGTATAGTCAGCTTTAGCCCTTTGTGTATCCACACATTTGTCTGTCTCCATAGTTTTCTTGGCATAACTGGCTGACACAGACTTGGCACAGACTTAACTGATAGTTACTCTCTGTCTCAACTGGTACTTCCCCTACCAAGTGAAACATGTTGTCACTTAGACCCTAGTCCATTCAGTATCCAACACATTGGACTTGCCTTACGTATCGGCCATAATATTGTGCTGGAATTTGCTTTATTTAGACTCTACTAAGTTCTCATTTGGACCTAAATAGTGAAACTAAGGGTAATTTCATCATGAATCCATAGATACATAATATAATAGGTGAAAAATAACTGTTTTTTATAGCTTTGATCAGTGAGCATGGGCAGTGTACCTACTTGCATTCTGCACTGCAGAAGTGAACTGGTGAAGGGTCCAACAGATCCACTGAGATCTGCTCAACTGCTAGAGCAGTCTTGAAACCAAAAAGGAGATATTTGATAGATTTTCTTTTTCCTGTCAGTTAGTATAAATCAGCCCAAGAATAAAAATATGTAGCTACACACATGTATTTACTAACAATATTCTACCAAAATATATTGACATATATTTGAAATGCTACAATTTTGGCCATATTCAATATATTGTTACCGGCATCCCAAACACAGATCGCAAATGCAGTGTGTTTGATGACCAAATGACTGGTCTGCAAAATCATACTGCATGTTCCCCTTGGTGCTAACCTCTGCACCCCAATCCCACCCTGCCCACATTTGGAACCCAATCCCCTTGCTAATCTCTGCACCCCAGAACCCTTCTGCTCACCTCTGCACTGCAACCCCCCCTCTCTTCTCACCTTTGTACCCAAAACCCCTCTCTCCGCTCACCTTCATATCCCAAAACTACATCTCTGCTCACCTCTGTACACTGAACCCCCCCCCATCTGTTCACCTACACAACCCCCTCTCTGCCCACCTCTGTACCCCAACCCCCCCTTCTGCTCACCTTCACACCCCAAAACCTCCTCTCTGCTCACCTCCACGCACCCTTACCCCTCTCTGCTCACGCCCACACCCCAAAACACCCTTTCTGCTCACCTCCACGTCCCCAAACCCTCTCTGCTAACCTCCACACCCCAAAACCCCCTGTCTGCTCACCTCCACACCCCAAACCGCACTCTGCTCACCTCCACATCCCCCTTTCTGCTCACCTCCACACCCCCTCTCTGATCATCTCCACAGTTCAAACCCCTCTCTTCTCACTTCCACATCACCCTTTCTGCTCACCTCCACACCACAAAAACCTCCTGTTAGCACTCCTATGTACACCACTCTCCCTGCTAAATGCTACAAGCTAACCTCCACCCTCCCTTTTGATCCCCTCTGCGCCCCACTTTCCACTCACTTGAGCCCCAGTTCAGGCCGTTCTTCTATTGCTATCCACACAGCTGTGGGTGGTGCTGGCTGGGTACTGTCCTGTGGGGGGGGGGGGGGGGGCAGAGAGCTCAGGATTCAGAAAGCTGCCTCTCCCTGCCACTGCTTTGCACTGCACTGTGCCGACCGAGCGGTTGCTCTTGTAATATTTGTCCGAGTGGGAGTTCAGTTGGGTCTGACAGCTTTTTCAAGCAGGATGCCACAGCACCCCTAAGGACCTCATGTGGCACCCCAGTTGAGAAATGCTGTTTTAGACAGATGAGCTATTTGGTGTGCTGCTTCTCATGTTACTGTCCAGTCACAGTCTGTAGGAGGGACAAGACCTACTACTTAATTGCAGCAAAATGTCTCATGCCCTACCAGCTGGGGCTGTGCTGTGTGACAAAGCTGTGCACATGTATGAACTGCATGGACAAAAATACATATATTTTGTCAAATAAACCAGCTGCCTTATATTTATTTCATCTCTGTATTTTACTGTTTGCCTGGAGTTCAGCTTTACTCCGAAGAGGTCATGATCACAGAATGCTGGCCCCAGCCCGATGTTTAGTTCATTAAAAATGAACCTACTGTATGTGGCATTGCTG